CAAAGCCGAGCCCCCCCCCACACCAGCAGTGACGCGGCGGGTGAGTCAGCGCTCCCCTCCCACCCCTCAGCGGTAACGTAACGCTCGCGTAATAGGCGAGTAATCACCCCGCATCCTGGCAGCCATGCGCGGTGACGTCACGAGCGGAGCCGAAGATAGCCGAGCCCCGTAACCGGGTAACTATGCAAGGCGAATCAACAGCGGTGACGTAACTGGACAGCGTGGCTAGCAACAAGGGTGCCTATTACGTGGCCGTATTGTCCGATCAAGGCTACATAGGGAGAAGCGAAGGCTATTCACAGTAGTTGTACTGTAACAGTCGCCGAGTCAGTTGTACTGAGACAGTCAGCGAGTCTGGAGCTACCGCCGAGTTAGCCAGCAACTAGTCAGTTGTATTGTGGCATTTTTCAGTGTACCAATTGTGATACTGCAGATAGCAGTAATCGTCAGATTGTAATTTGGGTGATTGTGAGAGCGGATGTGAAATAAAATTCGCTACATCGAATACGTCGAGAATTTATTTGTCGCGATATACGCCCGATACGCGACAATATCAAGAGGTTACTTTTTCATAATTACCAGCATACATAGTAATCATTACAGAGACTGAGCAGTTTCTTGATGTAACTTTGCATACCCCACATTTAATGAAAACCTCAATTTATCAAAGAGAAATCATGCTTTCAAAGAATGTTATTTATGAGTATTTAAAGAATTGCTGAAGATGCTGTGGAATCGGCATATTTAGGTCATGAAATAAGAACGTGGAATGCATATGTAATATGAGATTCTTGAAAATTAATTTGAATTCTTGTTGTGGAATTCTAGATATTTTCCTGAAGCGAGAAAGAATGTTCAATAAAGGCTGTAGATGCCTTTGCCAGACTTCCAGCTGTGTCTTAGTGACATATATGAAATGTCTGCTGTTCATAATGTGCATTTAGGTATGCTCTTCTGTGACCTCGTATAATTTGGTAGGGGACTTTCGGTAGCATAGTTGGTTGAGGCACTGTGCCTCAAGCCGGAAGGTCACAGATTGATTTATGAAGTCACTGGATTTTTCAGTTGACCTAATCGTCCCACCCACACTACAGCCCTGTTCTCAACTCAGCCTCTAACAGAAATGAGTACCAGAAATTGTCCTGGGGGTAAAAGGAGGCCAGCGTTTAAGGCTGACAACCTCACCTCCATCTGTGAGCCAATTGTCTTGATAATGTGGGATCCTCAATGTCTCACAACCCTATGAGCCTACATGGCCTGTTACAGGGATAGCTTTTCTTTATTTTACACTATTCTGGATAGGAAAATTATCAGACAAATGTTTACCTTTTTTCCCATGCATCCTGTTGTGTTATACAATATAACTTCTTTATTAAAACTGTCACAACACAACTATATCAAGGTCACTGCCTAGTTTGGCTCTGCTACATGTTTCGGCTATTAAAAGCCATCATCAGGCAAATACATGGCCAACATATATACAACCACTGAACTGCAGTACTGATAAAATTGGATGCAATAATATTAATTATATTAAAATACTTGGCATAAAAATGCAATAAATTAGATTATATAAAACAAAAGTTATAGTATAAAACAAGAATAAAATTCTTTGATTGATGCTTTACATCATTGAGTCAGTCGGTTTTTGTAATTTTGTTGCGTTCCCACGGACAAATTGGAGTATTCTATATTTTGTGTATATAAAATAAACTGTTATTGGAGGCTCATGATGTAGATGTAGTAATATTAATGTTAATAATTTAGTCGGTGCCTCATCTTAAAGTATTGTCCAGTCTATAGGGAATGTAAACGATTTATACTTTGTAAGATGAGGCACTGACTAAATAATTAACATTAATATTACTACATCTACATCATGAGCCTCCAATAACAGTTTATTTTATATACACAAAATATAGAATACTCCAATTTACTACATTTCTTTTTGTAAATTCTGCCAATATTCACACTCTTTGATCACAAAAATCAAGTCATTGTCTGTTCATCTTCTTTACTTCATTCCATCAATGAGATACCTAGGTTCAAAATCTAACAGTGTCAAAGCTGCCCCTGTAACAGGCTGCGGAGCCCCGTAGGGTTGTAAGACGTCAAGGCTCCCACATTTTCTCTAGAAAATTGGCTAACAGATGGCGGTAAGGTTGTCAGACTTACACGCCAGCCACCCTTTAGCCCCCAGGAAAATTCCTGGTACAAGGTGATGTTTTGTCACCACTGCTTTTCAACTTTGCCTTAGTATATGCCATTAGGAAGGTCCAGGAAAACCAGGTTGGACTGAAATTAAACGGGACACATCAGTTGTTGTTCTGTGCTGATCATGTGAATCTACTGGGTGATAATATAGATACCATAAAGAAAAACACACAAACTTTAATTGACGCAAGTAAGGAGGTTGGGCTGGAAGCAAACACAGAGAAAAGTAGGTATGTGTTGATTTCTCATCACCAGAATACAGGGAAAAATCATGGGTAAACATAGGAAACAGTTGTTTTGGAAATGTGGCACAATGCAGATATTTGGAATGACTATAACAAATCAAAACCTGATTCAGGAGGAAATTAAGAGGAGATTGAACTTGGGTAATGCTTGCTACCGTCCAGAACCTTTTGTCTTCCCGTCTGCTGTCCTAAAACATAAAGATTAGAATAAACAAAACCATAACCTTTCCTGTGGTTCTGTATGGCTGTGAAACTTTATCTCTGACATTAAGGGAGGATCATAGACTAAGGGTGTTTGAGGACAGGGCGTTGAGAATATTTGGACCGAAGAGGGATGAAGTGACAGGAGGTTGGAGAAAACTGCATAATGAGCTTCATAGCTTGTATTCTTCTCCTAGTATAATTAGAATGATCAAGTCAAGGAGGTGAGATGTACATAGCATGTAGCACGAATTGGGGAGGAGAAGAATGCATATAGGATATTGGTGGAACAGCAAGTAGGAAAGAGACCACTAGAAAGACCAAGACGTAGGTGGGGGACAATATTGAAATGGATCTTGGATAGAATGGAATGGTATGGACTGGGTCGATCAGGCTCAGGATAGGGACCAGTGGAGGGCTCTTGTGAACACGATAGTAAAGCTTCGCGTTCCATGGAATGCTGGGAAGTTTTTGAGTAGCTGCACAATTGGCGGCTTCCCAAGAAGGGCTTAGCTCCACGAGTGGTGAGTCAGTTGCGTATATTGACATATGGCCCATCGTATGTTTCTAAGGCCGACCTTAATTCACGTTCATTTGTTTCGCCAGTTCATTCCACGCTTCTTATTACCATCAGTGTAGTCCATGCTGAATGTAATATTTACTTGATATACAAAAGAATGCGGTTATCGGACAGGTTGCCGTAGCGGTAAGACGTCTAATTGAAACTTTAAAGTCGGGAGGTTCTAAGAAGAAAAACATTGCATTTAATTCGGCACTTTTAAATAACTTAAAAAAAAAAATTGAAACCTCGATAGAACTGACAGGTAAACACACGAAGAAGAACTTGCACACCTACTCCTTTTCTAGGCCCCAGGCTTTATGTTATTCTTTCCCAGGACATAATGCCAAGGTTACCGCTGAGTTCGCACAGTGTTTTAACCGACGTCTAGCCTCGTGTCTGGAAGGAAAACGGTTACCGTTCCATGCGTAACAACGTAACGAGATGCTTGGCGAAACAGCTGTAA